TCACCCCCCACCAGGCTGGATACAGCCGTGAGCTGTGTGTATGGTCCTGCGCTTGTAAGTTCAGTCTGGAAAAACCCTTTAAAAAAACCCAGTGGGAAAAAATTGTGGAAGGGAAAAGACATCGGCTTAAGCGCGTGGTCGTAAGCGTTTGTAGATGGCATTGGTGGCAGTACTCTCAGTCCGGCGTTTGGCGAGCGTGGCGTTGTGGCCCGCTGACTGATAGCTCAGACGTGTGGCAGAGGGAACAGGTGCTGTCCGTGCCTGAGCATTGCGCGGCTTGTTGACGATGGCCTTCTTGCTTCTACTGGATGAGTGTTCAGTCGGCGTACTCTGTTTTGAGGCTGAACGAGTGGTAGGAGTGGACGTTGGTGGTGCCGGAGCTGTCTGTCCCCTTAGTCCCTGTTGTATACGGGTGTTGGCTTTCGGGTTGCGACGCTGCCAGTATTCCGTGATTAGTTCTGTGCCTGTGAAGTTAGCCGCTGGTTCCCATGTGTCATCTTTTTCCGTGTATCCCTTCCAGCGTGTACGATAAACATAGTTGCCTGGAGTGCCATCATGATCAATGATTGCCTGCACTTCATAGTGGTCCTGGCTGGATGGCACTGGTTCTTGCGAGATCAGTTTGATGTGCGATGGCGGGATATTGAACGGAAGAAGCGCGCCTGTCGAGTCTGTCAGGACGTATGCCCCGCCCTTGTTGACCCCATTAACAGTGAATGGTCCTTCATACCGCGGTTCCGTCTTGCTACCCCTGGTGACGTTGCGGATCATGACCTTGCTGCCAGCTGGATAAGGGTCAACTATCCGGTGATTCGAATCGAAGCGGGCTTTTTCAGCATCTCGGGTGGCTTTCATGCGCTGACGGATGGCTGGTATAACCACCGCTTCCATCTCGCTAAGTCGTTCACGCGCTGCCTCGTAGTCAACTGTAGGTTGTGCGCTATCCCCTGTAGTTGAGTCAGTGTAGTTAGTGAAGGCGTTGGGTGGACGAGCAAACATGAGCGAGAAAGGTCGTGAGCCATGTATGGCGGCATGCTTAATGTTAAGTGCGAATTGCACGCTTGGGACGTGAATGTCCCATTCTGACTTTTTGCCTTGCAGCTGTTTGACGATTGCGTTCTTGGCAAGACCGACCCATTTCTCTGCTACGCCGTTGGCGCGTGGGTGATAAGGAGTGATAAGGCGGTGGTCGAGGCCAGAGATATCTGCAAGCTGCGTGATGAGGTCGTTGACAAATTCTGTGCCATTATCACTGGTGAGCGTGCGCATGGGTCCATACTCCATCATATGTGCCCACAGATGTCGTGCTATAGTAAGTGCAGACTTATCTGGAATTGCTCTCAGGACGCAGTAGCGTGTGAAAATGTCGACCATGACGAGTAAGTAGTTGTTACCACTGTCAGACGTAATGTTGAGCGTGCCAAGATCAATAGCCCAATGATCGCCTGGGTACTTAGCGGTGACATGACGCAATGGCTGGAAACCATGTTTGCCGACATTGAAGCGTTGACAGTCCGTGCATTGCGAGACAAGCTTCTGGGCGTCCTTGCGTAGGTTAGCCCAGTGCAGCCCGTCACTGTGAATGGACTTGGTGATTGCGTCGGCACCGAAGTGACCGAGTAAATGCGCTTTCTGCAGCAATTCGGTACGTTCGTGCTCGGGAGGCGTCATGAAGTCGACGGGCTCAAAGTGTTGTGCGCGTGCGAGAATGGGCGCATGACCGTCGGTGTTGTTCTCAGAGGAATGTGAAGAAGAAGAGGAGGAGGCCTGTCGTGTGGCTGAGCCTGCAGCGTTGGTGATAAGGTTCCGTGACGTGCTGCCTGAAACGTTGCTCTTTCCTTTACCCCCCACCAGACTTTTGTCCGCAGGAAAAAGACGGGAGAAGGCGTCAGGCAGAACGTTGTCCATACCTGGCAGATGCACTACCTCGAAATCGAAATCGTACAGGTCGTCAAGCCAACGAGCCATCATTGGATTGACTAGCGGTTGCGTGTGGAGATATGTTAGTGCAGCGTGGTCAGTGTAAAGGGTAAAACGACGTCCCCAGAGCCAGTGTCGGAACTGTCGAAGTCCGTAAACGACTGCAAAGAGCTCGCGTTTAGTAACCGACCAGCGTTGCTGGCTGGGAGATAATGCCTTGGCCTTGAAACCGATGTAATGAATCTGATTGTTGATGACCTGATAGAGGCATACCCCCACCCCCACGTCACTTGCATCAGTAGCTAGGCAGAAAGGTTGCTGTAAATTTGGATGACAGAGCACTGGAGCTTGCGTAAGCGCGAGTTTGATGTTATTGAATGCGCGCGTGTGCTCTTCTGTCCACAACTGCGAGAGATCCCCTGCGTTGCGCAAACTGTCCAGTGGCCACGTTGTCGTTGCAAATCGAGGTACATGGTCCCGGAGGAAGTTCACGGCACCGAGGAACCGTTGCATATCTTTGCCCGTAGCGGGCTGGGGCCAGGCCGCTATGTTGGCGACCTTTCGAGGATCCAAAGCAATGCCTGCTGCTGAGATACAGAATCCCAGAAGGTACACCTTGCGCTGTCCAAAGGCACACTTATCACGGTTGAGGATGAGATTGGCTCGCGTGAGACGGCGGACAACTTCCTGTACGTGAGGAACGTGTTCTTTGAAGCTGGCGCTATGGACACAAAGATCATCAATGAAGAGTGACACATAAGGAAGGTCGGAAAACAACCGTTCCATGACAGCTTGATACTTAAATGACAGCGAGCGGATGCCGAAGGGTGCACCCCGGAACACATACTGTATACCATTGACTTTGAATGCCGTTTTATGTTGGTGCTCTTCTGTGATGGGGAACCGATGAAAAGCATTCGTCAAGTCGAGAGTCGTGAAAATTGTTGATCCACCGGTGCGCTCGAAGATGTCTGACAAGTGGGGCAGTGGAAACCGATCTTCGGGTAGGAGTAGATTGAGCTGGCGTACATCGAGACAGGGGCGATACTTGGTATAGTTGCCGTCGCTGTCCTTCTTCCTTGCGAAAACGATCGGACTGTTCCAATGGCTGATAGTATGCGATTCCTTGATGACACCGTCGGCAAGCCATTTGTCGACATGCTGCTGCAGAAGAGCCATGAGGGTCGCTGGCAGCTTGTATTGGGCTCGAGGTTTCGGCGAGCGAGGATATCGATCCTGGGGCTGGACTCACGAGCAGGCGTGCCGACGACTCCAGTTCGGCGATCTCCTGCTCAAGCAGGCTCATCTGCTCCCTTAGACGGGCGTGCTCAGCCTGGTCGTTCGCCCGGGCGGCGGCCGTGCGTTGCAGCATTAGCAGGGCGAGATCACCCCGCAAGGACTCCACGGCTTCCACAGCCTGCTGCACCACTGATGTGGCGCGGGTTGCCTCGACGACAGGGGCGACAGGTGCATCATTTCGCGGCTGGTTGGTGCTGCTCGTTGCCGCGCGAACGGAAGGAAGGTCGAAGTCGTTGTTGGGGGGAGAGGGAGCTGACATCATACGTGATAAAAAAAAAAAGAGGTAAGCGAATTCAAAGAAAAAAAATGTGGTGGTTAGAGAGTTAGTTGCAGGTGTTTAAACCGTAGGGGCTAAAATCGAGTCTTTGAGACGGGATCCTCTTTATTGAATAAAAACAACTCTCTTTTTATATGATTTCGGACCAGGGTGGTAGTGGTGATACAAGCGGTAGTCATCGAGCATGGTCCTCCAATCATTACCAGTTAGCGGGCTTCGTAACGTTGGAATGGGAGGACAGTCGAGACGTGCTGTAGAAGAGGTGGATAAGTCGATAACCCTGCTCAGTACTGTCTGTAGAAGCGCAGTGTTATGAACAGTAGGGCTATGACACGGACCCTCGGCGGCAACTGGTGTTGATCGTGGGTTATTCGTCCCAGGGTGCTGGAACGTCTCGCGGATACCAGCGGCATACTCGTGGACAGCCTCGAACGCTTCTGCCGCATTATAGGCAGCTCGTAGTGACGTCGGTTCCTTGAGGAGCACCTGGATGCGGGCGTCATAGGATAGTCCACGGATGAATTCGTGCATCGCGTCATCGTCGAACATCTCCGGAAGGTCGAGCATGATATTGCGGAATTCAGTAACATATTCACGGATGGTACCAGATGTCGTTGATGCTTGCGATAAGGCCTGAAGTTTATTGCGCGCCATTTCTTTCGCGTTTCTCGGTTTGAATTCGGCACGGAATGCTATTTGAAATTCTTGCCACGTCTTGGGTGTCATGTCGCTGTGGGTGTCATCCGGATTGATAGACATTTCCAGATGTCGCCACCAAGTTGCCGCGCCATCACGTAGTAATGTTGACGCGTATGTTACACGTTCGGAGTCCGAGAGCGAGGCACACTCACCATATTTGTCAACTGTATGCAACCATGCCTCCACTGCCGAAGACGAGTGGCCACCTCGAAAAAGATCTGGCTGGACCGGTTTAACTCTTGGGCTGGCCCTTGTATTCAGTTGTTCACGGAGAGCTCGAATTTCTTGCTGCTGTGCCTGCATTTGCACCAGCATTCCGTGCATAAGGTCCATAGGATTTGGATGTTGTTGGTCAGTCATCAGCTACCAAATGTCGTCTTTGTTTTTGCTTGTATCACGAAGAGAAGACGACCACAGAGGGAGTCACGAAGAATATATATATATATATAACCACTGAGGAGTATCGCCACGAAGAGAGTATAACCACGAAGAAGGACCACAAAGGATAACCACGAAGAGCGTAGACCACTAAGGCAATCTCGAGGGATTGGGTAGATGAGTTGATAATCCTTTATTGTCTGTTCATTATCTGGATATTTATATTAATTGTCAAATGCTAAATACACATATGATGTCGTAATGGGGAGCAGACGATGTCTAAGAGGTAATGATGTCTATGTCGTCATAGTGCCCCAAGAAGATATATGACGAGCATTACGTCATGGGTCATTACAAAAATAGATATGTCCGGGAATTATAATAACCGATAGATTTGGTTACGACACGACACGACAACAAGACAAAATGGTTCGCCTCGGGCTCGAACCGAGGACCTCCTGTGTGTGAGACAGGTGTGATAACCAACTACACCAACGAACCGCTTCTCTTTCACTCGCCGTACACTTTTTTACGGCGGCTAATAGTTTACCCCTGACGTCAGCAACAATAACATCTCAAACACCACCACCAACACCTCCAAACGTGCACCCCATAGCGCAGGAATCCCCATCGCGATCACCAGAAGGAACATCCCAAGTCCAATCGGCCGCCCCTTCGACTTTGCACAACTCCCGAACATCGCGCATCCCCATCACCAGCGGAATCAGTAAACGCCGTTTGTCGACCACCTCAGTCCGCCCTTCACATCTCCCCGAGATTAAGAAGAACCGCGTCTCGGCTACTCGATCCCCGACATTGCAGTCCCAGACCGAGTTCCAGTTTACCTTTGAAATGGGGGCTGCGTCAAAAGAAAAAGTAACTGCAACGGCTGTGCAAAAAGCCAAAAATTTTTCTCCCGCTGCAACTATGGTTGTAGAACACGAGGCCCTTTTCCGCAAAGTGCGCAAGGAACTCGTCTGCCCCACGTGCCGGCTCCCCAATGGGATTTGCAAGAACGGCAGTAACAAGGCAACCCCCCCTCGGCCACAATACAAGTGTAAGTGCGGCACCACTTACACTTTCTCTGCCATGGAAAAGCTACTCGCTGCGCATGTAGCTGCTGAAGCTCCCAGTGCCCCACTGGAGCCCGTGCCCGCCCCTGTGCCCGCCCCTTTGCCTGCTCCGGTGCCAGTCCACACGCCTTCCAGTAACCAAATGGCCATGGACGATCCTACCATGGTACCACCTGCTGCCGTGTCTGCCCCTCTTGTTTTCGAACACCATGAAGCCCTTCCAGACTTTATGCATAAAATCATGGAAGAGCTCAATGCCACCCGCCACCGCGTCGACCAGCTCGAGTCGCTCCTTGCTGAAAATCAGCAATTAAAGGACAAGCTCGCTGCTGCGGAGAACACGATCGCTGCTCTGCAGCGCCAATTAGGCGTGCAGTCTCAAGATGAGGTCGGCCTGCACGTTAAAGTGCCCTTAGATGCTCCTACTGGCACCGCCGCCTCAAAGTACGCCACCGCCGAACCCACGCCACTCACATGGGCAGACCGTGTGCAGAACGGCTCGCCCTCCCCCACGAAAAAGTCCAAACGGATCCTGACCCCCCGCCGCGCTGCTGCACTCTCGCGGGTATTTGGTTTTGTCTCTGGCGACCAAGGTTTCCGGTACGTGTACCTCCCCAGCAAGTTCCGTCTCCCGACCAAGGATCTCCGCGCACGTCTACGTCAACTTGGATGTGATAATGCACGTCTTTTGGATGTGCATTACCCTGACCGACAGGTAGTGGCTATCCTTCTCCACAATGATTATGTGGAGGAGTTTATTGCCTTGCTGGCCAAGCACCGGATCCCGGTGATAGAGGACTTTGATCCTCGTGATCCAAAGCACCTCCGTGACCCCAAATTCGCGGCACTCTCTGAGGAGGAGCGTCGCGAAAAGGCCGCCGAACTACACAAGCAACGGCTTCTTAAGGCCGTCGATTTCATTCGCGCGCCAGTTAAGTACGCCGTTGCCAGAGCCTTCACTGCTAACGGATGGTTTACCCATGTAGATCTTCAAGAAATCCTGTCCGCCCCCAACACAAAACGCACCACTGCCGCAACCACCGCCAATCCTTTTGTCACCGAAGCCCCGATGAACGTTGACGTCGAGGGCACACAAAACAGCTCCACACCCATTGACGACGAACTCATGTCTGTCTCTGGCTCATCTTCATCTCGCACCACCCCCAACGCCGATAGTCAATAATTATGTTAAAAAACATAACTATTACTATTTGGAATGCCAATGGCTTACAACGGCATCTTATTGAAAACATCCTAACATACACTCCTTCTACATCCCTTCTCTTTATCACCGAAACTTGGCTCCTTTCCCCTCATTCATATCCCACATCCTGGCAACAGCACCATATCTATGGTCGCCGCCTTGAAAACGCATTCGTAGGCAGCATGGGTATTTCGCTTTTAGTAAATCCCGACTGCCCCTACCAAGTAACTTCCATCCCTTCCGACTCACCTTATGTACTCTCCTGTCTTTTTTGTGATACTCTCATCCATTGTCTCTACCTCCCGCCCTCCCTCCCAGATAACGAAGCCCTCGACGTCCTTGCCAACCTACCACTCACATGGCCCAACACATCCAACACCATCTTCTGCGGCGACTTCAATGCCCGCATTGGCCGATTTGTTGGTGACCATGTACTCACCCGACGCGGCACCCTCTTCTTAGAGTGGATCCAAGCCAACGGCCTCTACCATTGGAATGCCTCCCTCGCCTTTGGTATGCCAACCTATCTCCGACTCCGGGGATCCAGCATCATCGACTGGTTCCTGAGCTCCGCACCTCTTGTCGACCCGCATCTCGACGTCCGGGACGACTTATCGATTGGTTCCGATCACAAGATGGTGCATCTCACCTTTGCAGCACCCACCACCGAGCCACCCCCCTCTAATCAGCACACTAGACGTCTTTGGAATTTAAGCAAGCTGGAAGACCCAAAGAAGACTGCACATTATGTGCAGCTCTTCACCGAGCTCAACCAGCCTCTGCTTGATTCTCTGACGGATCTAGTTAGAGAAGATCATCTTCGTCCCGATTTTGATCAACTCCATGACCAGCTGTGTGAGGCGATCTACCAAGCCCTGGATAGCAGCCTCGGATCCCGCCCGCCGCCCCGCAGATCCTGCAAGTGGTTCTGGTCCCGCGCCCTCGAAGAAGCCATGGACAACCGTGAAAGATGTTATCGCCAATGGCGCCGTGCTCGGGATGGTGTTAGTAAGCTTTCGCGATGGGTTGCCTATCAAGAAGCTGCTGCCCTTGCCCGCCGCGCCCTCCAGCAGCGTCGTCGTCAGACGTGGCGTGAGTTCTGTGACCGGTTAGCTGCTGGTGATTTCAGCAAAGCTACCGCGACCATCTCCAAAATCAGACGTAACCGACGGCTCAATCCCACCTTTGTGGATCCTCGCGGTCCGCAGGTGGCTGCCGATCGGATGGCCGACCATCTTGGTCAGATCTATGCTGGTCATCTTCTCGGCCGCCGATTGATGAAGATCCCTTGCCCGCTGCCGCGACCCCACCTTTTACCGACGATTGCCCGTTCACGATTCCTGCTGTCGAAGACGCACTCGGCCGCCTGCCTCCACGTAAAGCCCCCGGGGCTGACCACCTGCGCGCCGAGATGCTCGTCCCTCTGTCTGGTGTCCTCGCCCCCACGCTGACATTGCTCTTTGAGCTTTGTTGGCGGTGGGGTACCACTCCATCAGCTTGGCGTCTTGCCCAAGCAATTCCCCTGTACAAGAAGGGCCCCACAACCGACCCCGGCAACTTCCGGCCTATCTGCTTGACCTCCGTTCTCCGCAAACTTCTTGAGACTTGTCTCATGGATCCCCTCGAGATGGCATATCCCAACCTGGATATCGCCCAGGGCGGTTTCCGTCACCACCGCAGCACGCTAGACCAAGCCCTTTGCCTACACGAGCTTTCGACCCTCCACGCCAACATCCACGGCGCCCCTCCTGTATTGGCATTCTTGGACATCAAGTCTGCTTACGACACTGTTGACCGTTCAGTTGTCTGGGATGAGTTAGAACCCTATGCCTCCCCTGCCCTTCTCACCCTACTACAGAATATGTTTAACGATGTTTTTGTTGAGATTCTTTTGTCAGGAACAGTATCACGGCGCTTCGAACCGGTCACAGGTGTGCTGCAGGGCTCTGTTCTTTCCCCTTTTCTTTATTCCGTGTATATAAATTCCCTCCCAGGATTGCTTCGTGTTGCAGAAAGTGATATTCCTCCGGACGACGACTATGCCGACTTCCAGATGCCCCCCGCCTTCTTGGTGCGTGATGAGCGGATTAACTGCTTGCTGTACGCAGATGACGTGGTCCTCATTGGATCATGGTCTACCATGCCTGCTCTTCTCTCTGCTTGTGAACAACACAGCATACAGCTCGGCTACCGGTGGAACCCCACGAAGTGCGTGGTGCTGTTTGAAACAGCCCACGCTCCCGCCCAACGCCCCTCCCTCTGCCTTTATGGTACGGAGCTCCCGAGATCCCACTCCTTCAAGTACCTCGGGATTCCCTTTTCGTCTGCTGGCCAGATCGACCATCAAGCCCTCCTCCACCACAACACCACCGCCGCCCTCACGTCAATGCGGACGCTGAACGCCATTGGCGTCAGCCCTTACGGATTCCCTCGCCTCCTCGCCACCCGCCTCTACCAGCAATTTATCCGTCCAAAGATGGAATATGGTTTGGCGCTGATCAACCTCACCCGCCAAGACATCAAGACTCTTGAGCGGCCCAAGACCAATGCCTCCGCATGATCTTTGGGGGACACAAGACCGCCTCCACTGCAGTCTTCCGCCATCTCACCCGCCTCCCCCACATGGCCGACCGCGTCGCCATCCTCCAGGCAAAGTTTGTACATCGTGCATACCACCTGCCGGACGACACCCTCCTCTCCGCCCTCCTTCCTTCCATCAAGCAGCCCAGACACCTTTGGCCGAAGTTGCATCGCTCTTCGGTGTGGGTGGCTCTTTCTCGTCCTAGGCATGAAGCCTCAAGAGAGGACTTGAAAGGTGCCATCCGCAGCTGCTTGCAAGCCCGCCTCATCGACCAGCTCGCCTCCTCCCGCGCCATCCTCCTGAGCGCCTGCCGCCCGCGCCTCGGCATTGATCCTATCATGCACCTGCCTATGACCAACAAGGAGTGCAGCCGCTGCATCCGCTGGCGTATGGGCTGGCTCCCTGGCCGCCCTAAACCGTGCGGTGTAAGCAAGACCACACAAGCCGCCGCCACCTCATATTCTGCCTCAACATGCATGCTCGGTTGAGGGTCGCCAATGATGATGATCATCGCGATCCGCTCTCATTGGTCCTCAACCAGCTGCCATGCTCTGAGATCACCTCCACCTCCCGATAAATACTGGCAACGTACCTGGCCAGTGGTGTGCCAGATCCTCTTAGAGGTCGACATGGCGTGTCATCT